TGACTTGGATATTTGTAACCATGGAACTTGAGGTCATCCAGTTAAATTGCTTGACAATAGGTTCAGGATATGCAAAAGAAAGTACTTCACAAAATGCATAAATGATGATACAGAATTCAGTGCTACAAAATATGATGGCCTTAAAAGGGTTTAATGCAGTTTCATAGAAGAGCTGAATGGAAATTCTGTCTTGAGAAAGAGGATCATGGGTTCCTCTAAATTCCAGAAACTGGTGACATATTAGGGGGTATGACTATTGCTTTGCTGTCCTTTTTTTTTGTAGGCTGTCTACTGTTGGAAATTTGGATCTTATCTCAATGATTTCAGTGAAGGCCCTTATGTCAACTGACTTAACACTGAAACCAAGGTGTTTGTGGGGGCATGGGCAACATAGGGTCTTTACAGACTGCCAGAAATAATGCAGCTTGAGTCCACTTTAACTGCCCTGGCTCAGTGCTAGGGAATCATGGGAACTGTAGTTTATTGTGGCACCAGAACTCTCTGACAGAGAAGGCTCAATGTCTCAGAAAAAACTACAATTCCCATGTTTCCCTACCACTGAGCCAGGACAGTTAAAGTGGACTCAAGCTGCATTATTTCTGGCAGTCTGTAAAGGCCCATAGTCTATCCACCTTGCTCTTAGTTCGTTGTGTATGAATCCCCTCGCCCTGCTTCGTTCTATCTGATTTCATCATCAGGTATATACTTGGTTGTGTTTTTACATCTGATCTTAACCTGTCTCTATACTCTTGATTTCCCTGTCTTTCTCAGTTCTTTTTTATGACCATGATGCATCTCTTCCAAAAATCTTTGGCTTTCTGTATTGAGTTCGGTTTATGCCATCTTTGTTTATATAAGACTGAAATGCCTTCCAGTCTTTCCCATTTGTATATTATGCCATTCTTATGTAACAAAGAGGTCAAAAATTTATACTCCTCCCTTTTCCTTAATAGTCTTTTTGGTATACCCTTAGATATTTTGCCTCTTCCTCATTGATTACAAATGCTTTTTTGTAGCTTAGCTCTAATATTAAATCCCTTGTTTTTTCTCTTAGGAAATATATCACTATATCTCAGGGCCATCCTTTTTCCTGAGCTACTTGTGAATTTAATCTATACATCTTATATATTTCCCAGTTCAAATCTTGTATTGGTATCTCTGTATATTCTGACAATAATGGAACAAAGTATTCATAAAGATTTTCTCCTTTTATTTCCTTCACTCCTCTAATTTCAAACAGTTCTCTCTTTCTTTTAGTTCCTCGAAAGCTTTCTCATCTAATCTGCTCTCCGTTTCTTGTTTTTCTCAAAATTTTCTTCCAGATTTGTTTTCCCCCAAGTTTATCTAGTCTTTCTTTAGCTTTACCCATGTCTTTTGTAACTTCTTCTAAAGACTTTTTTTATGTCCTTAAGTTCCAGCTTCATATCTTGTTTTATATCAGCTCTCAATGTTTTCATTTTTTTGGACATTTTTTTTTATTTCTTCCAAAATGGATACTTGTTTTGTTGATTGTCTTCTGTGTGTATGGTGTGAATTTTGAGTTTGTGTTGTTGTAGGTGCAGCAGTATTTCTTGAGGTTGCCATGGTCAGTTGAGTTCCTTAATCAATTTGTTAATTTTGTCAGTCCAATTCAAATAATTAATTCCAATAGGAATATAAATCATGTATCTTATATCTTTGTATTTAGTCTCTTAAATCAATTTATTAAGCTTTACTCAAATCAAAATTCATTCACTTTGTCCTTTTGTTTCACAATCAGTTAAGTAATTAATTCACTTGAGTTAAACAATTTCAGTTAATCTTCAATTTGATTTCATTAAGTCAATTTAAATCAAAATTTGAATCCAGTCCATATATTTAATCTCAGTCCTTATATCTCTCAATATATTTAGTTTCCTAAATCGATTAATTCAATTAATTCAGCTTCAGCTCAAAACAAAGTTCATTCACTTACATCAGTTTTAATAACTCAGTTCAAAGCAAGTCTCTAATCTTCAGTCTTTCCAAACTTAAAGTTTAAATATCTAGTTTCAAAATTTGTGTCCCTCAATCAATTTACCACTTAAATCAGTTGGGTGAAATTAATTCACAACAAATTGAGTTCCTTTACATAAATGGGTCTGTTTGCTTCAAACATTTCTCTTAAGGTAATTCAGATTATTCAAAAGTGAAAAGGAGAGAGGTATATGTCTATATGATACTTCCTTCCCTCTTCGTGCTGAACTCTTTATTCTTAAGTTTTATTTTTCTCCTTCTTTCTTCTTTTCTCTTCTCCCTTCTCCACACCCTCTCAATTTCCAGTTGAAGGTCTTGATATTTTATCTCCTCTCTGCACTTCAATATTTCCTCTTTATATTAAGCTTTCTCTCTTACCGTCTTCTTTCTTTTCACTGTCAGTAGGGCTCTCTATGCCTGATATTTTAGCATCTCAGGTTCTCAGGGTGGTTTTTCTTCTGCTTCTTTGAGGCTTAGTTCATTAGAGTCAGTTGGCGTTTTGGCATTTTGCCAATGCGGATGGAATTGTAGTGGCTGCTGGGCAACACTCTGTGGCTTTCCTGGCTTTCTCCAGGCTAGTCTTCACTCTCAACACTGATCTGAATTAACTTAATAATAATAATAATAATAATAATAATAAAATTTATTTATATCCCGCTTATTGACAGACAATCCAAGCGGCTTACAATAAAACCCATATAACATATTACAAAAAAAAGAACCAACCCACCAACTTAAAACAGTATTAAATGATTCATAGTTAAAATAGCAATAAGATAAAATTAACATAACAATAAAAACATATGACATTTAAACATTAAAACAAATTACAATAAACATTAAAACAAATTACAAAATAGCAAAGCCTCTGTGGGGTACCACAGAACCCTCCATTCCAAGAATGTTTTGGCCACGATGGAAAAAACTTTAGTTGAACCCTCCTCCCTGAAACGCAGAGTGGCATTTCCCCCCGGAGCACCTGAGCTCCTACGAAATGCGACTCATGCCTCTCTCTCACCAACTGGAAGACCACGTACCACATTTCAGTTGAGTTGGTTTTCTTCCTCTCTGCTTTCTTCACTGTCCAGCTTTGACAATCATACATAGAAATGGGGAATACGATGGCATAGACAATCTTAACTTTAGTATTCAGTGATACATCTTTACATTTCAGGATCTTGTCTAGTTCCTTCATAGCTGCCCTTTTCAAGTCCTAGTCTTCTGATTTTCTGATTTTTTGGCTGCAGTCACCATTATGCTTAATGACTGAGGCAAGATCTTAATTGTCTACTTTAAATTTATATAAGTTGTTTGTTATTTTTGTTAATGTTCAATTGTAAATAGCAACAATGAAAAAGAATTCTACATAAATAAATAAATAAATGAAGCAAAAGCTCCCTAACCTAAATGTCTGCTGAAAAGCAAGGGCTCAATTGGAAAACAAAATCTGAAGTTCCACAAGATAGATGGGAAAACTGATAAAAGTCTAGTTATGTGCATCCCATAATGTTCATTTAAAGGAGTGAACTGGAGGGAGGTGAGAAATGTGTGGCTTCTGTGTGGTACTCCTGCTTTTGTTTCACTGCAGCTTCCAGCAGCACAGCTAGTGGTGAGAATGCTGGGAATTGTGGTTTGTGATGGAAAACAGGGCGGAAGACAGTCACAACCATCAAAGTATTGTGAAGTTGGGCTGAAAGGGAGGAATATACAAAGAGAAGCTGTGTAACTGTCAGAATTTTGGTTAATTGGGAGTCCTGTGTATTTGGTATAGGAGGGACAGATGGCAGTGAAGGGGAGAGTTCAAGAAATTTAAAGTAGGGATTAACTACAAGCAATTCATTATTTGTAACATATTCAGGTAATTGACAAAACAGTATTGGAATAATATGCAGCAAGTAATATATACCAAACATCAGACTGCTCACTAATATTTGAACCAGTTGAAATTTTCCTCTTGTGTTCGTCTGTGTGTGACAAAGCATGCATGTGCATCTACTGCTGAAAATCAACAAAGGTCAAAAAAAGAAAAAGACAAAAGACTGTGACCTCATACATGAGGAGGATATAGAGAGTTTGGATAACATAGGGATGGGGGGAAGGTCAGGAAATACATAATCTCCTTGTTGCTCATTGTGGTTTATCCAGGACCATGTGATGAAGAGAGCGTGGAAGTAACATGTTACAAATAACTGTAATGCATTGCTATTTGAGGTAACAAAAGCATGACCATTTACATAACAAAAATACAGTGTTACTCCCCCCCCCCCCCCATATTTGTGTAGTAGGTATCATGTACTGGTTGATCCTCAAATGTTGGTTTTGGCAGGTCATTTGGGTTTTTAGCTGTATTTGATCATTTGGATTTTTAGGCATATTTGTATAATAACTGTTAAAAATAACATTACAGAATAACTTAAAGTTACACTTTTGATATTGAGGAATTGCAATAAGTTACTTTAAAAAATAAAAATGACCAGAAAGAAGTAACAAATTACTTTAAAAAAAAATCTCCCCCCCCCCAGCTCTCAAGGGGGGAACGGGGTGTGTGCAAGTTGATATATCCTACACTTTAAGTGATTTAGTGAGTTTAGCCATTTTTACTGGCTCATTTAAATACGTACATATATAGAGTCAGCCCTCCATATTCAAGGATTTTTTATCCATGAATTCAGCCATCCACAGCATGAAACTATTCTCTCTCTCTCTCTCTCTATATATATATATATATTCCAAAAAGCAAATCTTGTAGGGACATTTTACTATGCCATTGTATTTAATGGGACTTGATTTGGTATCTACGGGGTGTGTGCCCTGGAACCCCAGCAGACACCAAGGGTCCACAGTAGATTGTTGTTGTGTGCCATCATGTCATTTCTGACGTATGCCTATCCTAAGATGAACCTGTCATAGGATTTTCTTGGCAAAACGTGTTCAGAGCAGGTTTACCTTTGCTTTCCTCTAAGGATGAGAGTGTTACTCACCCATGGTCACCCAGTAGTTTTACATGGCTGAGCAGGGATTTGAACCCTGGTCTCCCAATGTTCTAGTCTAGCACTCAAACCACTATGCCACAGTGGAGGACTGTCATTCATAGGGTCAACATAAGTCAAAGTTGATTGAATAGCAATTAACAACAATAACAATTACTTATATATTTTGGGATCAGAGCACTGAGGCACAGATAGATTAGTTTGCCTAAGTCCTACCAGTAAATGAAATTATCAGTTCAGTTAAAGTAATAATTACAATGTACCAGTTTTTCTGAAATGTTTTCTACTCTAAATGCAAGCAATGCTGTAAGTGTATCAATATGGTCCTGGAGATTCTTCCCAAATTAGAATATGGCCCTGGGCCAAAATGGTTTTCTATTCCTGCTCTAGATCTGGCCCCACATCTATATTATGAGTTCAGGTTTTACTAGGCTTTGTAGTATCATTATATTCATAGGTTAAAATTTCCATTTTAGAATGATTGTATAGTGAAACGAATTAAGAGAACACCTTAAAAGGAATGCTTTTGAGAGGAAAGAGCTATGTAACTGAGTCAAGAGGCGACAGATCTGTTAATGGGATTATTCTGTTTTCTACTCCAAACAAGCCATTTTTGTTTCCCCTCCTATATAGGAGCTAAATGTCCTTCACAATTAATTTGGTAGCTTGTTGTCTAGCTTGGAGACAGTTGCAACGATTATTCCTGAAGTTCCTTCAACATTAATATAACCTGACTGTGGACTTTTATGCTCAGATGTAGCAGGCAGTGTTTTTGCTTGGTTGGAGGGGAGTGATCTCCCTTCTTCCTTGCTGGCCTCCTCATGTGAGGCAGCCATTCTTCATGAATGCATGTCTTTGTGAAGGGTCTCTTGTGCATTATTAGTTTTTAAGTTCAAACAACTAAATTGAGCCTTGTACAGACATTATTTGCCTGGGGATGGGAATTAAAGGGATGGTTTGAGATTGTTTCCCTACTATATAAGGACTTTGTTGTTTTTGTGCATATATGAGTTCTCTGTAAACATAGGAAGATGCAATGTGGTCTCCCTCCTTTCCTACTGCCTTCTACCTTAAAGACTTAACTTACTCTTTTCTAGTGAGTCATGTCTTCTCATGATGTGTCTGAAGTAAGAGAGTCTCAGTTTAGTCATCTACATTGTATTACATAGCTTTATGTAAATGTTAATGTTGTAAGCCGCCCCGATTGCTCTGCAGAGGGGCGGGATATAAATATTATTATTATTATTATTATTATTATTATTATTATTATTATTATTATTATTATTATTATTATCTACTAGGGAGTGTTCAGGCTTGATTTGCTCTAGGACCATTTATTTGTCTATTTAGCAGTCCACGTAGAACTCTTCGCCACCACCAGGCTTCAAAAGAGTTGGTATTCTTCCTATCACCTGTCTTCACTATCCAGCTTTTTCAACCATACATACTAAATAATATTCAATGATATATCTTTACACTTCAGGATCTTGTCTAGTTTTTTCATAACTGCCCTTCCAAGTCCTAGTCTTCTCCTGATACCTTGACTGCCATCTCCATTATGCTTAATGACTTAGCCAAAGTATGGAAAATCTTGAAGTATTTCAATGTCTTCATAGTCTTTGCTTTAAAGTTATATAAATAATCAGTGGTCATTGTTTTTGTTTTCTTAATGTTCAACTGTAAATCTGCCTTTGTGGTAAAGATATTGAAGAGAATTGAAAATGTTCAGTACAGTGTATGTCTAGTGGCAGACCAAAGCCTGCAATAGTGGCCTTTCTCAGTATTGTTACCTAATAATATCCTTGTAGCTGGGGATTACAAGGGTTAAACCAGAAAAAAATTCTACATGCTAAGCATGTGTTCTGCTACAGAGCTATGACATTCCTGTTCTGGACAAGTTTTGTGACAAAGCCATTTTTTTTTAACTCAATGAGTTTAGTTTTCTTCCTTCCTGGTTCTCATCTATTAATGTAGGATGCTGCATGTCCAAAATAAAACCTCACATATACTTTTGGCTATACTGCTGTAATTTTTTTAAAAAACTGCAGTCTGTTCTATGGCAGAACTCCCTGAGCTGCATTTGGAGCATCTCCAGAATTTAAATAATCATTACTGTATTTAGATTTTGTTCCTATTATTAGTTATACAAAAGTGCTGAGTTGGGTTTCCGGGGTGCCTTCTTGTAAAATTAGTAAATCTATGTTGAGTTGGCAATCTTGAAGACAAGTCAGCTTTAGAGAAATGGATTTAAGGGGACAGATCATTTATAAGTCCAGTTGAAGTGATGACACCTTTGGGTGTTCAGCAACTCTAAAAATCAATAAGGGATCTAGAGATTGAAATGCACAAGATCATTTATAAATATATTTTTGTAAATACTTCGTAAGAATATGTTGTGATGGGATATAGCTGCTCGGATTGTTGTAGTTGAGGCTTCTCTCCATCATTGTTTACATGTCAGCATAATGTTTATTTGGAGGACAGAGTCACAAGACTGAGGAGCCTCATGGGCCATCGAATCCAACTCCTTCCCCGTGTTGAGTGTAAGACTTCCAGCTAATGCATCAGTCTCTTTCTGAAGATGTACAGAGAAGGAGGCCCCAATACCTCTCTAGTCAATTGATTCCATTGCCAAACTGCTCTCACTGTCAAAACCTTCTAATGTGCAGCCAAAATCTACCTTCCTGTAATTTAAAACATTAGACTGAATTCTTTCCTCGGAGGCAACAGAGAACAAGCTTGCCCCCCTCTTTATGACAGCCCTTGAGGTATTTAAAGAGTGTGATCATGTCACTCCTCGGTCTTTTTTTCATCATACTAAACATGCCCAGTTCCTTCAACCTCTCGTCATATGTTTTGTTCTCCATAGCTCTTATCATCCTTGACACCCTTCTCTCAATCTGCTCCAATTCATTGATATCCTTCTCTTGGCTTATTTAGCCAAGACATACATGTGTCTTGTGGATGAGCATGTGCACCCTAAGGAATGATGGTTAATGGCTTTGGAAAAAGGCAGAATGTGTAGTCAATTTCAAATCATGACTTAATTTCTTAACTTGTTCTGAAATGGTTATATTTTCTTGATTTACATGAAATGGGGCATTGTAGTTAATTTGAAGGTTTCATGAATTGCTTCCTCTGTTTCTGAATTGAAGTTTTATAAGGCTATGTGATTAGCCTAAAGCTTGTTCTATCTTGGCTTTTTAAGGTTTTCCCATGTGTCAAGGCATACTCTCTAATTGTCCCTGTTTTAGGGGTTCTCTTCCTCTTAAACAATGAGGTGGATTTTTCCAGAACATTTTCCACTTCTTAGCTAGACGTTTGACCTATAATTAGCAAAGAAAATGGACACTTTTTAAACTGAAACATTTGATTAGGCAAAACAGCATACAGTAAAAATGTTTTCAGAAGACATATTTATAATGCTATTGCCCTGCCTCATTCACTGAATATTATAGGAACTTTCCATAACCTTGTTCCCCAATCATAATTCTCCTTGTTTTTCCACAGTTCCTTTTGTTCCTGTCCATGCTGCAGAAAACTCTATAAGCAATAAAAAGAATGTGTGTTCAAGCATGCTTTCTGACTATTAGTATGAGGAACCCTCTGTCTAGAAATGCCATTATTGTGGTTTAAATGTCCCAAATAATAATAATAATAATAATAATAATAATAATAATAATAATAATAATAACTTGAAAGCTTTTTTTAAAAAAATTCTTAGTAATATGTACATGTACACCTACATACAATACAATTTGTGATTTGTCTGACTGTATTGACTTTGTATCCCACTCTCAATCAAGCTGGAGGGTACCTACATATGCTGCTTCATTTTTTTGGTTCCCTTAACAGGATGGGCAGAGGACAGTGCTATTTGGTCCCCATGGTGGGACAGGAAAGGTGAAGTATTTAGTTAGGGAAAAATTATTGTAAAGGTGACATAAGTTTATAAAATTATATGTGCTGTAAGAAGAGAGCAAAGAGATATCTTCATTCACCCCCTTTTCCTCCATAGTACTAGCTAGCTAGCACTCTGTAAAATCGGTTGAAAGTAGAATTAAGGGAAGAAACCAGCTATGTCATACGGAATTTGCTGTACAAGATACAATGATTAGACTGAAAGTGCTCAAGTCTGCATGGCTATTAGCCATGGTGGCAGCATTATTTTGAGAGCTGCAGTTTTTAAAAAGGAACATCTCAAGTTTTAGACAAATCCATTGTGATTAAATCCATTAAGTTCAGAGGCACTATGCCACAGAACACCAGTTGGTAGAGAGCAACAGTGGGGCAGGCCCGTTGACTTCATGTCTGAATCCCAGGACTGCTGAGAGGCATCTGGTTGGCCACAGCCCTGATGAGTCAGACCATCTTCTAACCCATTATACAGTGGAATATAGGATGATGGATTAGATGGTCTGATTCATCAGGACTGAACCATGTTATGGCTCAGTGATTGATGACATATTTCATTATTTTTTCACTTAATGACAATTTACTGTAACAAGAGTAATACTGTGAACAATCAGTATTCAGTTTCCTTGCAACATTTCAGAAGGTCTTGTGTAAATTTTCTAGATTCCACTGAGTGAGTAACAATAGAGTGATGCTGTTAGTTGGACACAGGTGGTGACCTTCCATAATGCAAAGAAACATGACTGTTTTCTTCTGGCTGAACACAAAGCTGAAGATACTGTGCTGGGTATTGGAAAAATGGTAAAAGTTAAAAAAAAACACCACTAGGAAGTCAATGGAGAAGGTGATGGGTAGTCAAGACAACAAGGAATCAAACGCTGCCCTGATACAGTGTTTTTCTTTAAACAAAGAGAATATGTATATGTAATAATAATATGTAATGAATATGTAATAAATGTCTAATCTGTTTAAATAATTGGACCATGTTCTGTGGCTATGATGTGAACAGGAAGGAAATGATCCATAGACTATCAGATATATGGACTGTCAGAGAAATCAATTTACTTAAGAGATGTGAATTGGGCCACAGAATTGTGTGATTCCTTCTAGTACACTCATTTGACTGTTGTCAACAATAAAACATAGTGCTTTGTGACATTGCAAAAACTACAG